TGATCCTTTAAACTTTATTCCGTCGTTCCTCGAATGACACGTTCCTCCACTTTTTCGGATCTTACGATAAGCAAAAAATATATTCGTTAAAGTGAGAAAGCTTTCTTTTAAAAAAAAAAAATGTTCGAAAAGTAGCGTTACGATCTTTAACATTGCAGAGATTTCCTTGCAAAACGATGCAATTACGCGAATTAACGATCATGTTGTAGACATAGCTACGATATGAATACGGGAGATGACGATCATTGATTTTCAAGTAACAACAAGTAATAAAATATTCAAGAATAGGGTGCCGGTTTATTACGGCCATCTCTGGTAATGCAGCCCGCACCGTGTGAAACGTACAAGTGTTACGTACGACGTTTCATAGCTATCGTTTTTCCCTGAAAGCTACGCGAATCAAAGCTTTTCATAGAATCTTGATAGAAATTAATTGACGAAATTTATTACCTCTCGTTAGAGCCTCTAATACCAACCTGACGTGAACTTGAAACGAACTTCGCTATCGAGAAACGTAAAGGAATCATCATCGTGAATTTTCTCTTCTTTTTTTTTTTTCTTTTTTTGCTGATATACCCGTCTTGGCCAACGTTAACAAAACACATACAGGATACGAAATATCGGATCTCGGGCATCCATTAATACCCACACCAGCGTCGCCAGCACAGGAAAATATGAAAGTACTCTCTAAATCGTCTCGAGGAATCCTCCCCCCCCTCGTACATCATGATCGCATCCCCCGTCAAATACACCTCAGCCGTGCGACACGAATTCCTCAAACAAGCCGTTCTGGTATATAGCGGAACGAAGCGGAGGATGGAGAGTACACACACAGAGGTTGGGGCCCTCCGCTTCGAGCAGTCTTCCCCGATTACCCCGAGGGAGAGAACGGTCGACGAGGAGTTGACTTTCGCGCTTCCGGCGGCGGAGCTTTCCCTCCGCCAAAGGGGTTGCGACCCTCCGAGGAGGCTGCACAACCACCGCGAGCTTCCAAAGGTACGCCCCGCCTGTCGACCAATCGTCTGCGACCCTTGGCAAGCGATGCCTCGATTGGGCGTATTCGGACGAAGGCGAAGGCGATCAAAGGCGACGCGCCCTGGCCACCCCTGTACCAGGGTAAAGGAACGGCGAGGCCATAAATCACGCGTACACCTCGTGCACCCACCACGACCACCGCGTCCTCGCGATAAAGAAACCCTTCGATTTCTCGTGCATCCGCGGCTACGTCGATTCGCGAACATCTTTCGGTTTCGATCGGTTTGAAGAGAGGAATCGTTGTTTTGAAACGTGGACGGGCAGATGGATGGATGGATAAAAGGTTTCGTTGTCGCGGTTGTATTTCGAAATAAAAATAATATATTTCGTTGTGGTGTTTGCAACTGGTAATTGATTTGAAAATTGTTTAGAATTTGTTGCTTGATAGATTCGGTAACACGGGAAATTTTGGATGAATTTTATTATGAACTGGTAATTTATCGCGATTCGTTTTTTATTCTTCTACCTTCTTCTAAATTTTTTATTTTTCGAGCATTATTTTTTTGCGGTATATAAAATTAAAAAATCGAATAGAAGAATATTTGTTGGGTAACAGAAGCAGTTCAATGAAACGTCTTGTTTTCTTTCGAAACAAGATGGCTACCGTCGCTAGTTTGGAAATTGCGAAAGGCGAAGGAAAACTATCGAAGATCCCGATATTGTGAATTCCGATCTATCGAAGACTATCATCTATCCATAGTAGATAAAAGTTGAAAAATCGGCAGCCCAGAAATCTGTGATTTAGTAGTGAAAATTCGAAGAATTTATTTTCCTGTACAGGTAAGAATATTAATTTTAATTTTCGCTAATTTTACAATTCAAGATCATTCAAATAATTCTATTACTATAAAAAATAGAAATTGTACTGAATTTTTCTATGCTTAATACCTTATTACATTCTAATAAATTTTCCAACCCCCTTTCCGTTTTTCGAAGTTCAAGAACAATTAATCGAAACATATGTTTTTTTTTTTCCGACAGTTAGTTGATTATTCGCGTGTAAACACACCTGTAAACCCCTTTTTCCGGCGTTGAGGCGTGTAATTGTTCGTCCACGGATCGCCTCTTTGTCGCGTAATGGCTGCTGTTGCGTTCACACATATGTTAAAAGTAATATGTCGCACATGTTTATTATATATATATATATATATATATATATAGTCCAATGATGTCAGAAGCACGAATTTTCTGGCGACATTTCGTTATATTTTACGTGTAATACATTTGAAAAAAATATCGATAACCATTGAAGGAAATTCAACGTATTTCAACTTGTCTCTGCCCCTCCTCTATACACGTATAAACCGTGTAATAAAATGTACAAATTATATGCGTTGCGAGCTATATTTTGCCAAAATTATTATACAGGTTTTGCCATACGTGTTTCAACCGATGCCTTTTTTTTTTTACTTTATTTCGGATAATAATTCGAATGTCGATGCCATATAAGCATAAGGCTCCTTTTTCAATCCTCAGTTAAACCATTTAAATTTTCTTCATTTTCTTTATTCTCATGCTCTTTCCCTCCCCTCCCTTCCATTAACTTTTAATTAAAAAAGACTTTCAACTTTCTCTCGTATATAAATCCGTATTAAATATTATCACGATACACGTGTCTTTCCATTTACAAGAAGAATTTAAATAATTGGCGCGCGTGCACCAGTTGTTCGACCAACCGATATCGTAACAACTCAAAAAAAAAAAGTATCTGTTACGTGAAATCATTGGTCTCCTGGAACCTTCACATGTTGCCCAAGTGTCGTGCACGGCATATGCAACCGAATCACGCAATCACTGCCAATCGTGTGAAACGCGCACGTGCACGGCCGAAACTAATCCTGTGTTGGTGGTTCCCGTTAAATTGAAGTCAGTTTAAGAGTCAGATTCGACGTTTCGTCGATTTTCTCCAACAAGTTTTCATTTCAAAAGGACAAACATTTTCGAAAACGTTTCGTTTCACGAAGATCATGATGATCCATGATTTGTACGCTTACAAAATTGAGTAGTAGGCGAGTATAGTATTTTGAATTTTTAGCTTTTAAATACTCGTACGTGCTATTAACTGTGTAACTGTTGTTGCGTGTAAAGAGGATATATCCCAGTCACTTGAAAATTGACGAAATTATTGCTCAATAGGCAAATGAGGTGGCGTAACGCGAGCTATGCTGTCATTACGGCGCAAAGATTAATTATTCAAAAGCTTCTAATTGCAGTCGACCCTTTCGGACAACAAAAGTCACGTGAAGGGTTGCGCGGGCTAACGACGATGTTTGCGCGGAACTCCTTAAAAATTGATGGAAAAGGGAAACGGAAGAAAAATGATCCAGGAAATTCATCGACGAGACTCTGTAATTAAATACTCACGGTTTAAATACCGTGACACGACGATGGATTATTTTATTTATCGATCGATGAAAAGTCGAATGTGTTGTGCACAGAGAAATCGTGTTTTCGACGATAATTTTGAACGGACGGGTGTAAGATCCGGGTGAAAGTTACTCAGCGAGAGTTACTCAACGATTTAAAAAAGAATATTTAACGTCACGTGCTTTTTTTCTCAATCAACCCTCCTTCGAACCTTCCATTATTCCTCGAACAATGTACGACATCGGCGTGATTAACCGAACGAACGAAAGAAGTGTGATGATTCTGAAGAAAATACGCGGTTCGATCGATCATCATTGCGAATCTAAATTTTTTACGCGATCTTCTTCGATTCCTTGAAAACGATACTTGTTTATAAATTTCGATAATCGAATACATATTCCATATAACATATTGGAGAGCAACGAAATTGCAATTAAATCGCGTTTAAAGAAAAAAAAAACAAATGACGGCGAGAAGGGAGGAATACAATTTATTCGAAGGAAGGAAAAAGAAAAAAAAGAAGACTGTTATTTAAATATAAATTTTGTCAGATTAGCGAGGATAATATCTGATCGATCCATCAGCGTTTTTTATGCGAAAGAACGCACATGACGTGACGAGGAAAAAAATTTGCATAGAATTTTCAGAGGAACTTTCGTCACCACACGGACGACTATCGAAAAGTCATTGAGCCGACATTAGGCCAGTTTGCATCTCAAGCTGTGACAATCTTATCAAAGTTCACGTGATCGATGGCTTCTTATATAAGTTTCTTTCAAAAATAATACCACCGTGCGTCTTACCAATTGTCTCAAACTTTTCTACATATTTCTTTACTCATTATTCAAATCTACCTTCTTCCAACAATCGTTATCTCCACTTAACGATAAGAATTATTTTACGACGATTTACGTAAAAAAAAAAAAAAAAAAAAAACTCGATGGATAACGATTTATAACGATATTCGAATCGGCATTCGCATTGTTGTACCAGATTGCTCGTGTCCAGTGCGTAACGGTGCGACATATGTTATACACGCGTGCGTAAACACGATGGATTCGTGCAAACAGAGTCGAATAATCCGTGCCATGTGTACAACTTACGGCATAACCGTTTATCGAACGGCAACGAAATATTCGACTTACTTTATCCTATCATTTCGATACCAAGAGAAGCAAAGATTCTCCTCTGCGAGGTGGGAAGGATAAAAAACGGTTCCGTCGCATCGCCAAGGTAGTTATCGAGAATAAAAATATTATGGCAGGTTAACGCTCACACGCGACCACCACCACCACCACCACGCCCTCCACCTCGACGAACCGTTAAGAAGTCAGTCCACACAGGCAAGAGAGATCTCTGCTGCTCGAGGGTTGATGGCGGTAATGACCAGTGTCGGTGAGACTGGTGGTTCGGGACGGAGGGTGCGGCGAACCATCATCCACCAGGACCCTCTCCTCCTCGAGGTGGTTTACCACCGACGAGGCTGAGCGATGCTCCACGTCACCGATGCATTATTGAGCCTGGGAACCCTACAGGTGGCCAGCCGTTCTGTTCGAACGAGAAAGACCGCCGGTTCGAGTCGGCCCGAGGGCCTCGATTCAAAGGGATATGGAGAACCGGAGGAAGAGGTGGAGAACAAGCAAAGGGGTTGCAAAAGTCAATGGAAGCGTCGGAGGATATTTCCCCTCGACTTTTCTCTCGAAACTCTGCGTTTCGAGTCGCGCGAGTCGAATTCGTCCAAGAGAGTCGAGATCTCGAAGAGGTTTGTTAAAAAATGAGAAAGAGAGGAAAAATGTCAAGTTGTAAAGCAGCGGTTGAGCTTGAAGTCAATAAGTCGCGAGCATCGAGAAAATCGAACGATCGTCCAAACTTCTTATTACATGTTGCAATATGCAACGACGCGCGGCTCAACTATAACTTCCTCCCTTGGAACCGAATGGTTACACGAAGAATCGCGATATTGCTATTGAAAATGACGGATAATAGCGTCGGAGGAAAGGCAGAGCTCTTGCCAATTATTTCACGAGAATGATCTTTACCTGGCTGATAAAGGAATTAGTTGATTGGTTAAGAAGAATTAAAAAGCAACGGTTTTATAATTTCACAGATCGAGTAATTGCATTTTGATGGCCAGGTTTCAGGACAAGAAATGGAAGACAACAGCCGGGGCGAAAGTTTGTGCAAAGTTTGCGGTGACAAAGCGTCCGGAAAGCATTATGGAGTGCCGAGTTGCGATGGATGCCGCGGCTTCTTCAAGCGGTCGATCCGCAGGTATGCAAGGTAATTAATTTTCTTTGTCGTTTAGAAAGTTCATCGTTGACAAAGTGAATGTAATAGAAGATAATTTGTTAATATGTTCGCTATAAATCGATGTTAATTAATTAGAAAAGTGAATTGTAATCAAGTTGTTCGATTCGATTTTGTAGAAATCTCGATTACGTTTGTAAGGAGAACGGGCGTTGTATCGTGGACGTTTCTCGTCGTAATCAATGCCAGGCATGTCGATTTACCAAGTGCCTTCAGGTCAACATGAAACGAGATGGTACGCTTCGTTTCAACGGTGATTAAGTTTTTATTCTTTGCTCGAATTTAATTCCTATCTTTCGTGCGACAAATTAATCGACGCAACTTTAAAAAAAATAAAAAAATATCATCGTTTAAATACGAGAATCGAACGAGGAGATATTCTCCGCCGGAAGTTGGCTTCCGTATTGTTGAACTCTCCAAGTTCGACAACGCCTTGTCTGTCGGAAAGTTTGGGGATGACAGAAACCTCGATACGTTCCCCCCCATTTTTGATGTTACGTATCCATTCACACACACACACGCGCACACACACACGCACACACATGCAGGATGTTACAATGCATGGAGACGTTCCCCCAAAAAAAAAGGAACAGAAAGAGTACTCGAAGGGGAAAGAGAGAAAAAATAAAAAAGGGGTGCTCGCACCCACATGAAATTCTATATTCGCGCTTGCTCACGCCAGAATCCGGAAAGTTAGCCTCGCCTCGAGCGGTGTCACGAGCAGCCTGACGTTCACAGGTTTTGTAAACACTTCTAGCCCGACCCGATAATCCAAACACTTGATTGCACGGAGATATCAATTAGCGAGGGAGGGTAGAAAAGGTGCCATTAGTGGTCTGCGCTTCTACCAAGTTTGATTATCCTTGTCGATGTCGAACGAAAAAAGACAAAAAAAAAAAAAAAAGAAAAAAGAAAAGAAAGGAAGGTAAAATAATTCGAAAGGGGAGAAGAGCGGAGATATATGCTTCGATATAGAAACATCTGGGAGGTTAACGGGGGTTGATTATTTTTATAGAAGATTCCTTTTACAATTCTACCACCTTTCCTATCGAACGCTCGATCGCAACTCGTTCGTCTGCATAATCGATTGTGAAATATTAAGAAACTATGATACTCACAGCGGTGCAACACGAAAGAGCTCCACGAAATACATCGTCCCTGGTTGCAGCCGCAAGGAGAGGTCCCTCGGGATTATATCCTGGAATTCCACACGTTTATCACGCAGCGAGCAACCCTTACCATCCCCTTCTGTATCCTGCGCTGTTCCCTTTCAAGCCGACCATGTCGGCTTTCACCCCGTCGGTCGGTAAGCAACGAAAATCCAATTCGAATCGAAATGGAATTATCGAAATATAATTATTTATTCGAAATTCATATCTTGCATATATATATATATATACATACACTTTGTCGATTCGCAGCACATTTTTTACCCCGTTCACCGACAACGGAATCGTTGACAGTGAACACAGCGAAAGAGGACGAGGTGACAAGTTCGGAGGAAGCTGGATCGATCGACGCTAGAATCGAGCCGAAGGGTAATCTTCTTCTCGAGTTAAACCGCGCGATTTATTCGATCGATCGACGAATGATCTTGCGCGTGTTGCAGAGGAGCTGGCAACCGCTCGATTGACACCGTCCATAGCCAATTCTGGATCAACGGAATGCGTGTCCACCTTCTCCATCCTGCCCACGGAAAATATCTACGAATTCGCCGCGAAATTGCTCTTCTTTGCTGTCAGATGGGCAAGAAGTATTCACTCGTTTTTGCAAGTAATTTTTATTAATAATCGATAAATTTTTGAACAACACGTTGATTTACCCTTACCGTCTCTCGATACTCGTCGATATTTGGCCTATTTCTTTCTTCAAGCTGCCCTACAGAGACCAGACTATTCTATTGGAAGAATCTTGGAGCGAGCTTTTCGTGCTCACCGCCGCGCAATGGAACTTCCCCGTGGAGGAGGCCACTCTTGTACCCAACGATTTATCATCCGAAAGGAAGGAAACGCTGGTCGACGAGGCGAGAAAATTGAGGGAATTGTTGGGAAAATGCGCTCTCCTCAGGGTCGATCATTCGGAATACGCTTGCCTCAAGGCTATAGTTCTTTTCAAAGGGGGTAAGATAATCGATTAATTACACGATGGAAATATATATTCTTATACGGAAAATGACATTCTTCTATCCCAAGAGTCGCGTGGCCTCTGCGAACCGGGACGGATAACGGCGCTACAGGAACAGACGGTAGCCGTGTTTTGCGAAAGGGATGCGCGAAGAGTTGGACGACTTTTGCTGCTGTTACCCTCTGCGCGAGCGCTCTGCCGATCAACCCTTCAGGAATTGCTGTTCAAACCGACAGTGGGGGATGTTAGCGTGGAACGATTGTTGGGCGACATGGTCAGCGCTCTCAGACCGACATAACGCCAATTCGACTCGGTCGATACGACGCTTCTCAAACGGCTAACCTATTTATATCGACGATTATTTCAAAGATAACTGTACTTTCGAAGATCGATCGTTCGTCCTTTCTTCTTTTTTTCCCTTTCTCTCGAATCTCGTTCAAAGAGGAATACCGATGAGATCAAAATTTGAAAATTTTACGTAAAGTCTAGTCAATTCTTCGCATCGATTGTAAATTACGATGTAATTCTGTTAAACTCTAACTAATCGCAATCTTAAATAATGTACATATATTATATAGAAATAAGAATGTTCCAGTAATAATTAGTAGAACGAAACGTTTGCTCTTTCTAATCGCGAAATTATATTTTCTCTTCTTTTTTCTCTCTCTCTCTCTCTAAAGAAATCTTCGAGTCTTTGACGATAAATTAAAATTTTGTGAAACTATACATATATATATATATATATATTTTTTCGAGATAACGTCAAAGAATGGTCGAACAACGTTTACTCTTGTGGATAAGAAACGTGGAAAATTGACAGAGATTGTACACGATATAGGCAAACGCGATTGATTTACGGTTTATTTCAGCAAAACCCTCTGAATTTCTGAAACGTTTATTCTCACATCACAACAATAAAATTCGTTTACACAGTGTATGGGCGTCCGCGACGATAAATAAAATTACTTTATATGTGTGGATGATTATCGGGAAGATTGGCATCAAAGAAAAAAAAGAGACACTAACGCACACTATTTTTTTTTTTTATTAACTAGAATAATTTATTCTTTCATGGTAGAAAAAGGAGAATGTATCTTAACTCATGGACTGCATTGTACTCATATATATATATATATACAATTACATACAATCCTCAATTGAACGTTACACATAAATTCATTATAGATTGATCTTTCTAATTATTTCCTTGTCCTCGTGTGTTTTTCTGCGTGTGTATGCATGTAAAAAATTGTTCAACCCAAAAGAGACAACTGTCGTTTTTTTTTTTTTTTCATTTTCTTCTTCATTGTTGTTTCACTGTCCGGAGTACGTATAATGATAAAAAAAAAAATTGCCTCGATTATTCTACATAG